AATCTCAGTAAGACAAGGGATCCTCAAGGATCTTCCACCCCAAGCTCACTTACATGTGCAATATAAGTTCTAAAAGCATTTATCAGTATAAGTTCCAAAACTATGCAGTGCAACAGATATTCATGACATGTGTTATAACTATTCTTCTGGCCAGAGAAATGCAGGAATACGTCTATCACCTACATGTAGTACAAGGAACACCGTTTGCACCTCACCCACAGCCTCACCATATTGTATGTACTACATACTCAGGCTTACCGTATAGGTGGAACACCACATGCATATCATAAAGGCACTAGCATATAACAACTCAACAACATTTCCAAAACATCAAAAGCATGTAATGTAACATGCATACAACCATACCCTCATGGGACATGGTGGAACCACAACATGGCTTTCATATAAACCTCTTAGTTTTGAAGACCCATTTATATCCAATGACTTTTGCACCATCAGGAACCTGAACAAGATCCCATACTCCATTAGTTGCCATAGAATTCAATTCATATTTCATAGCATTATACCAAAAATTTGATTCTTTACAATTCATGGCTTTTGAAATGTTTCAGGATCATTTTCGGCTCCAACATTATAGTCAGCTTCTTGTAGATACACAACAAAGTCATTCGGTATCGCTGATTTTCTTATTCTGGTAGATCTTCTTAATGTTGTTTCATTATCTTCTTGATGAACTTGTTGTTCAACTGGTTGATCAACAATTTCTACTTGTTCCTCATGAACAACTTGATCTACTAGATTATCAGAAGGTTGTGGATCTTGAATGACTGATTGCACAACACCCAGTTGATTTGAAGGGGTATTAACATTAACCAATCTCAAACTTGAAGTGGATGGTTGAGCAACTGAATAATCTTTCTTAGAAATAAAGTCTCTGGATTGATTTCTGTAAGAACCCGCACCGTTAATTAAGGAAGTTAATTAATTAATTAAGAGAAATTAGGAAATAATTCCATAATTGACCCTAATAATTATTATGAGGCTTTAATAATTATAGTAAGCGAGTAATAATGCTGAAAGTCGCTTTTCTGATGAAAAGTGCAGATATCGGTTCTGCTACTCGGTATAAATGCGTACCGATGTAGTATCTCGGAAAATTATAATAAGTGCATGAATATTCCTAGAATATTATATAGGACTGGTAAAACAAGTTTCAGGCTAAAATAATGAGAACTGGTGCCAGAACTGATCTTGGCTATGGAAAAGCGCGTACCGAAAACGTGCTGCGAAAAATAAAATAAAAATATGATATGTAATGTCCCACATCGGTTGGAGAGGGGAACGAAGCATGCCTTATAAGGGTGTGGATACCTCTTCTAGTGTGAGGCCTTTTGTGGGGTGTCCCAAGAAACAAAACCGTGAGCTCGACGGTGCTTGTGCGCGGGGCAAAGCGGACAATATCATGCTACAGGGTTTTGGGCTGTTACATTTGGTATCAGAGCCTGGCCCTGGACCGGTGTGTACAGCGGGGACGCTGTATTCCCAGTGGGGGAGGATGTAATGTCCCACATCGGTTGGAGAGGGGAACGAAGCATGCCTTATAAGGGTGTGGATACCTCTTCTAGTGTGAGGCCTTTTGTGGGGTGTCCCAAGAAACAAAACTGTTAGCTCGACGGTGCTTATGCGCGGGGCAAAGCAGACAATATCATGCTACAGGGTTTTGGGCTGTTACATGATAAATCTTAGAAAAATGAGTAGGTTCAGAATCTCAAATTTGAGATCAAAATGATAAGCGTAGCTATTAATGCTAATACTGTGAGATTAACTTAAAGGGCCTTTAAATACAAACTTTGGCACAAAAACCTAGGGTTCAGATTTGGTCTACGTAGTGTGCCTTGTGCGTTGTTTCTGAACTTCCCTCCCTTCTCCAAGCTTGAGCCTTTGGTGTGTAAAGCTCCCAAGGCACCATTTTTAAGTTGATTCTTCTCTCTTCCTTTTGTAAACACTTGAGTGTTGGTTTTGTGAGGAGGATAGACAACCTTTTCTGAGTTTAGAATTCTGAGTTGTGAGGTTTAACGGGCTGAGTTGGTGTTCCCCTTGGTGTGAGCCATTGTTCATGCCATTGGTGGCTTCAAGGAGCCATCTTTGAGTAGAAAGGTACAAGCTTACGTGGTATTTTCGTGGTTCCTTAAAGTCAGTATCTTGGAGCTATGTTAGAGGCTCCAAGTCAGTGCCATTTTCAGAGTTTTGAAGCCTTGGAGGTATACATGATGCACAAGGTAGCTCTTTTACTCAACAAGAAAGCTCCTCGGAGCTTCAAAACACCAAATAAAAGGCCACACACTACAAGAGCATAGAACACAGTCCCTAGACTCCTAACACAGCAGTCCCACACTCAGAAGATGGTTCCTTTTTCCTCACCCATCACACACCCAAGTGTTTGCAAGGTTAAAGAGAAGGAAAATCAAGAGAAAATGATGATTTTGGTCACAAATGGTGAAGGAATGCAATTAAACAGTGATAACCACTCATCCTCCAAGTGTTCCCATGTAGAAAACTAATATGTCTAGGGTTTGACCCAACACAAGAGTATATATAGCGGTTTAAGTCATAAACGCACAGTATTATCGTTAATTGCTACGTTTAGCATTTTGATCCCAAGCTTTGGAGTCTAAACCTACTCATTTTTCTAAGATTTACAATATTTTTATTTTATTTTTCGGAGCACCTTTCCGGTACGCGCTTTTCCATAGCCAATATCAGTTCTGGCACCAGTTCTCATTTTTTTTTTTTGATAACATAGTTCTCATTATTTTAACTTGAAACTTGTTTTACAAGTCCTATAAATTATTATAGGAATTATCATGAATTTTTTATAATTTTCTGGGATACTTCATCGGTAAGCATTTATACCGAGTAGCAGAACCGGTATCTGCACTTTTCGTCCGAAAAACGACTTTCAGCATTATTAACCACTCTATATATTTATTTAAGCCTCATAATAATTATTAGGGTCAATTATAGAATTATTTCCTAATTTCTCATAATTAATTAATTAAATTCCTTAATTAACGGTGCGGGTTCTTACACTAACGCAATTGGGAGTCCAAAAACTCCCTCAACAGATGTTCATTAACATGTTTAATAGCCAGAAACACAGTCCTTTACTTAAATGATCCAAGTTTCACTTTTTAATTGATAAACAAGCTTAAATCATCAAAATGACAAAGAGGTGTGTGATGGGTGAGGAAAAAGGAACCATCTTCTGAGTGTGGGACTGCTGTGTTAGGAGTCTAGGGACTGTGTTCTATGCTCTTGTGGTGTGTGGCCTTTTATTTGGTGTTTTGAAGCTCCGAGGAGCTTTCTTGTTGAGTAAAAGAGCTACCTTGTGCATCATTTTCGTTCACCTTGGTGTCTGCACCTTTGGAGCTAAAGGGAGAGCTCCAAGAGCACCTTCATTCTCTGTTTTGAGCTTGTGGTATGATCACCACCCTTGAACTTGAGTTTTTATGCTTAAAAATCAATCCTTGATGCATCTAACAAGCTAAAGCTAATAACCTAAGGGTGAGTAAGCTTAAACACACCTAGAATTGCATGCTTAAGCTTCTGTAATTGGAAAAAATGGATCCCTTGGAAAGATATCTCGCGAAAATGCAAAATATGCATTCTGACGCGAAATATCCGGATATTTGGTTGAAAATATCCAGATATTGATATCCGGATATTCAGTTGGAAATATCCGGATATTTTGGTCGGGACAGCAACAAACCTGTTTTAGTAAAAATTCGATATCTTGAGCTACAGAGCTCCAAATTGAGTGCCGTTTGGACCTATGTAAAGCTAACATATAGGGATACAACTCTGTAAAATTTAGTAGCCATTGGATCAGTGGTTTGATCGCATTGTCAATTTTAAGTCGCGTTTTGGTTGCTGGAAATTTCGTTTGCAGCAGTCACTTTGCGTAAAACATAACCGGAGTTATACAACTCCGATTGAGGAATAATGTATATCGTTGGAAACCTCAAGATGTCTAGTTTAACAATGTAAATATTAGAATATGAATATTTATATAATTTTTGGTCTAAAACAGATTGTGATTCTGCTGTGTTTGGACTTTGAGTTTGTGCGGACTCTTGGCTTGGATAGCTAGCTTGCAAGGTAAGCTTTCGTGTCCTCGGTTTAGCCATGTTGTGGTTCCACCATGTCCCATGAGGGTATGGTTGTATGCATGTTACATTACATGCTTTTGATGTTTTGGAAATGTTGTTGAGTTGTTATATGCTAGTGCCTTTATGATATGCATGTGGTGTTCCACCTATACGGTAAGCCTGAGTATGTAGTACATACAATATGGTGAGGCTGTGGGTGAGGTGCAAACGGTGTTCCTTGTACTACATGTAGGTGATAGACGTATTCCTGCATTTCTCTGGCCAGAAGAATAGTTATAACACATGTCATGAATATCTGTTGCACTGCATAGTTTTGGAACTTATACTGATAAATGCTTTTAGAACTTATATTGCACATGTAAGTGAGCTTGGGGTGGAAGATCCTTGAGGATCCCTTGTCTTACTGAGATTTCTTGTTTAGAGATCTCTCCCCACGTTTGGGGCGCTTATTTCAGGATCAGGTAACTTGGGTGTTGATGCCTCTGGCAGCAGCAGGCCAGAGCTTAGTTGCTGATATTACTGTTTATATGCTGACATGGTTGGATGCTGGATATATCTGTTGTTGTTATGTTTTAGCTTGCTTTTATTATGTTGCTGCTGTTGAGACTATGTTGGGCGTGTTGCCTTATTTGTTTGAGCATGGGCTTTGTCCATGTCACTTGATGTTAGTACTTTTAGTTGGAGTTGTATAAACTGTTAGTTTGTTTGGTCTACGTGTTGTAGTTCCGTGACTAGAGACACATTTATGTTGTTTAATTAATGAGGTATTTCAGTTAGTTGTCTTTTGCAATTTACATATGGCTTGTTAAGAAAGATTCTCTTCGTATCATTCTAGCATTAGTTGCACATTTTGACTTAGAGTTACAGCAAATGGGTGTGAAAACAGCTTTTCTCAATGGAGATATAGAGGAAGAGGTTTATATGAAACAACATGAAGGATTCTCCTCTAGTGATGGTGAGCAATTGGTATGCAAGCTTAAGAAATCTATATATGGATAGAAACAAGCCTCCCGTCAAAGATATTTAAAATTTCATGACATTATCTCTTCATTTGGTTTTGTAGAGAACACCATGGATCAATGTATATACCAGAAGGTCAGTGGGAGCAAAATTTGTTTCCTTATTCTATATGTGGATGATATTTTACTTGCAACCAATGATAAAGGTTTATTATATGAGGTGAAATAATTTCTCTCTAAAAAATTTGATATGAAAGATATGGGTGATGCCTATTATGTTATTGGCATTAAGATAGATAAAGACAGAATAAGGTTTGTTCTTGCTTTGTCTCAAGAGACCTATATCAACAAAGTTTTAGAAAGATTTAGGATGAGTGATTGTTCACCAAGTGTAGGTCCCATTGTGAATGGTGACAAGTTTGATTTAAATTAGTGCCCGAAAATGATCTTGAGCAGGAACAAATGAAGAACATTCCTTATGCTTCAGCTATTGGAAGCCTAATGTATGCTCAGGTCTGCACAAGACCTGACATTGCTTTTGCAGTTGGAGTATTAAGAAGATATCAAAGTAATCCAGGCGTAGACCACTGGAAAGCTGCAAAGAAAGCGATGAGATATCTTCAAGGGACTAAGGAATACATGCTTATGTTTAGACGGACTGATAACTTGGAAGTAATTGGCTACTCAGATTCAGACTACGCTAGTTGCATTGATTCCAGAAAATCCACTTCAGGATATATTTTCATGCTTTCACTATGGAGGCTGAGTTCTTTTCTTGTTTTGAGGCTACCTCGCATGGTGTATGGATGAGGAGTTTCATTTCTAGTCTTAGAGTTAAGGATTCTATTTCGAGGCCATTAAAGATATATTGTGATAATTCATCTGCTATTTTTATAGGTTAGAATAACAAAAGTGGTAGTCGATTTAAGCAAGCATATCGACATTAAATATCTAGCCATAAGAGAACGTGTTAAAGATAAATAATTGATTATTGAACACATTAGCACTGAATTAATGATTGTTGATCCTTTAACTAAAGGCATGCCACCAGTTAAATTTAAGGATCAGGACGAGACTTGGTTCCTGTATGTGATTTTCATTGTAAGAATGATATTGTATTAATGAAACTCTATTTGTAATGTTTCTCATTCAGTTTATATGCATTTCAGTTAATTATTCTGAGAAATATCAATAAAGTTTGGACTCATAATAAACATTGGGCTTATTCATTAAGTTATATGGGCTTGAGAAATATAATACAATGTAATACATGGAAGATAATACTCACACAAATAAGAGGACTTATCGCCAAGATTCATGTATTTTGTTTCTCACTATAGTATATGATTGTATATGTGGACCAAGTGGGAGAATGTTAGTAAAAATGTTAGTAGTGTGACCTGTGGGTAACCTTATGTGGTCCATCTATGTTGTTCACTTCTGATAATGGAGAACCTACCTCACCTGCTTTTGATTTTGGTCTGCAATCTTCAACTAATTTTTGTTTTTGGTCTGCCATCAATTGAGCCTATCTCCAGTGCACACTTGAACAGACTCTATGATGAAGGAGTCTATACAAGGGTGCATCTTCAGCTTCATTAGTCCCTGAGCTCACTCTACATAAAGGCTGCACACCATTGGGCTGTAGAGAAGAGTTTGGAAAACTCATAAAAGTTTTACACATCACAATTACAACAACCATTCAAAACAACAAAGAAAGCAGTGATGAGAAGTATTTATAACCTATCATATTTTTCATTTCAGTATATGTTAAAACTTGCAATTACTGGAGGACAATACATCAGCTACGTGTTTTCTGATTCATTATTGTCAAAAATTTATCGAATTAGTTCGAGTATATATACTCCTTTCAATATTTAGTTTTGTAATTATTGGAAGCCTCTTTTACTTTATTCCTGTCCTCCATTAGTATATATATTTGCAATTCAATGTTATTAGAACCGGACCGGTCATTGACCCGGTCGAGGTACTGGGTCATTGGGTCAATGGTTCAACCGGTGGGTCACTGGTTGAACCGGGTATATATATAAATTTATATTTTATACTTAATTATATAATAAATATTTTAAATGGTGCAATTCAAACAATAATCTGATGTAGTCTAGTGGTAATTACTATATTGTCTATCCTCAATGTATGGAGTTCGATTCCTGTTAGATGCAATTTTTGAAATAATTCTATTAACTTAACAGTTATATAATAAGTATATTAAATGGTGCATTATATTTAACAGGTAATGATAGCGTAGTGGTTCAAAGGTGCGCTCCTCACATCAAAGGGTTGAGTTCGATTCTCACTTGGTGCAAAAATTGGAATATTTTGTAACTTATTTTAAAAAACCGGTTCAACCGCGGTTCAACCGCGGTTTATGACCGGGACACCGGGTTGATACCGGGTCGAATGCTTAAACGGTCCAATACTGAAACCGGACCGGTTGATGGGCCGGTTTCCGGGCCAACCGGTCGGACCGGCCGGGCCGGGCCGGTTTTAATAACAATGTTGCAATTAGAGGTTTTTGTTTTCTTTAATGTTTTTTGTTTTCATTTGATAGTAGTAATGAATATATATTTAGGCTTTTAATTTCCAAGGCTGGTGCTTTGTTAATTAGTCAAGCTTAATTGACATCAGTTAATATTTATCTTTTATTACTCATTCTAAATTTCAAGTATGTTCTTTTAGTCATCTTGCTTTGATTTAAAGTCCCTACTTAATGGCCAGAAATTGAATAATTTAATATTTTCACATTTCTGTATGGGACATTTAGGTTGGAGCACTAGAGGTCAAGTATGGAAGAATAGAGTTGTCAAGTTTTTTTAGGAAAATTATTTTCTTATGCAATAAGAGAGAATTTTATCATGTTGTGAGATATCAAAATCCGTGTCTTTTTTTTGTTTTTTCTTTCTTTCTTTTTTATAAAAAGTGGTGGGCTCCATCATTTATTGTATATATGACATGAGAGATGCTATCTCATGTGACCTGAGAAAAGAGAAGAACATTTTATTATCAAGAATTAAATTCAATACTGCTTCCCTAATATCCCTTGCTGATTTCAAATTTCCATGGGACTCCGTATCTGTTGCTTGAAGCATATGATCATTCTAATCTTATCTCTCCAATATTGAATTGATACAGCAAGCATCAAACTGCAATTTCATTCACACCACACCAACCCGCATCGGTACAACACAGTTGAAACGAGATTATGAGGCGATTCGCAACCATAATTTAAAACTTTGATCATAATTGTTTTGTTTGCCAATTAAGGTTAGTTATATGTTTGGATGTGGTGATATATATATAGTTTGTTATATGACTTGTATTCTGTAGCATAGGCTCTGTATTATCAATTGAAAAAAGAAAAAAAGAAAAAGGAGAAAAACTAATTAAAGAAAGGCAAATTTATTTAATTTAAGGGAGATCTTGCAATTACAAGTTATTGAAATTCATAGGACAGGAGAAAAGTATAATTTGTTTATGTTCAAGGAGCAGTACAAATAGGAGTTCCGTTTTCTTTGTAAATGGTACATCCACTTGATGCCATGCAGCAGTTGCATTCTGGATAGAGATGCTTATCACCTGTGGATGGACAAGTCATGTATCCTGCGTCATAGCATATTTGTGGGCAAATTTTACCATCCGCACTTTTCATATTATTACTTCCCAACATAATTGCACCTGCATCCATCCATCATAACCAAAACAATATCATATTATAAAAATTGTTAATTTCTTCATTTCATTCCTAGTTTCGCTAGAAAAAAAGAAAAAAACAAAAAAGAAAAAAGAAAAAAAAAAGTGAGCTGCTGGGCTCAAGATGAATACCGCAGAAGAAGACAAGAAGAATAACCCGAACCTTGTTGAATGCCATGTTTGTTTTGCAACCTTGGTGAATCTTATATCTCATATTTATAGATATGAAATGAACCACAATATGTTGACTGTTGAAATGAACAAAAAAGAATATTCGCACAGAGAAGCTGTTAAGTCTAAACTAATAAACCAGACAAAGGCAAAGTCATAGAAGGCATATATATATATATATATATGGGAAGGATCCGTTTACAAATTTCTTTTATAAATTTTTGCAAATTACACTATGTATTCCGGGAGAATATAGTGTAGTTTGTAAACAAAAAATTTGTAAATATAACCAACCATCTCCATATATATATGTATCAGTTTTTTTAAAAAAGGCTCTCATATAGGTGAATTTCTTTTCCAACTCTTCAAGAATTGAATAACTGCCTTCAAAAGTGGAGAAATAGTGGACCGAGGAAGCTTAAGAAAAAATATATTTTATTTGACTATATATTAAAGTAGTATATAAAGTACTACTATTAGTATATAGTAAAATTTATAAAAATTTATAAATAAAAGAGTTTGTAAATATAATCTGTCCATTTTATTTATGTTAATAGATATGGAAAAGCATGAAAGATTTTTCCTTTCTCGACTTAAATACTACTAATTAAGAACGAAAACTGGTAACCCTTCCCATAGTTTCTCATACGTGAATTTATGCATTTACACGAAAGCCACTCTTTTAGAGTAACAATCTTAGAAAATTTTAGGCTCACATGCTTTGATGTATTTTTCTAAAAAATACTTTGATATACTTTGTACACACCCATAATTTTTGAATTAATCTGCACAATAAGTTCACAAGTATCTTTTTGTTTAATCTTTATGGCAATTATATTTCTCATGTTGCTAAAAAAAATTCTTTTGCAATAGACACATATTTACTAGAATGCGACGTAGGATTTTGGCATTTTGTTTTATAAAAAAAATATCAATAAATCCCATTTCACCTCAAAATGATATATTTATTTATATTCACCGTAAAAATATTAAAGCCATATAAGATTGTGTTTATTTTTTCTGTAACTGATGCAGAAAACAAAATTTTGGGTTGAAAAACAAATCTTATATTCACTCTTAAAACAACGTTATTTTTTATTGAAAAATTAAAAAATTATAATGAAAAAGATTATTATAATCCTAAAATAAATTATAATTTTAAAATTTTCTTGATTTCCATTTCAAAATAATATCATTTTAGACTTAATATAAATAATTCATCTATATTAAATGGAAAAAAAACTAACCCTCTTTATATATAAAAAAACACAGCTAATGTCATGTTGGTACATTAGCATGTTGCATGCCCTATCAACTTTTGTGTTAAAATAATAACTTGTGGGTAACTTATCTTCTGCTCCACCGCTCAACTTCATCATTCATCATACTATATTGCCTTTTTTATGTATCGACCGATTCTCTATACCTTACTTTTTTTTTTTTTGGGTAACTAAACATTACTCTACTTATAACTTCATCAGATTTCTCATATTCAACCTTACGTCCTTATCTTAGGATTGATGAGAAGAGAAAAACAAATTAAATGAAGGGAAAAATATTTCTGCAGTTAATGTAGATAAGTTATCTGCATTTATTTCCAAAACGACGTTATTTTGATATTGAAATCTTAAAAAATTATGAATATAAAGACTATTATAATTTTGAAATAAATTAAAATTACAAAAACACCATAATTTCCGCCCTAAAATGACGTCGTATTGACTTACTGCAGATATGCAGTAACTGCAAAAAAAACGAACCTTTATAAATGAAATAGTTAAAACAATTACTTTCAAATTCTCGATGGTACTTACCCACTTCTATTTGTTTTTTACTTATAAATCTCAATCAAATTCAGAGAAAATTAAAAGTAGCTTATCGTGAAATATCATTCAACCACAAAAAATCAAATTAAAGCCCTTGAGGAA